CGCTAGTCATTTCAACAAAACTACTCGTGGACTATCTGCGCTAGTCATTTCAACAAAACTACTCGTGGACTATCTGCGCAAGTCATTTCAAGAAAACTATACGTGGATTACCTGCGCTTGTCGTTCCTAATTTTGAAGTGGTAGACGGAATGGGGGACAGCTACACACCGCCAACTCTTTACCAACGGAGAGCAGGATTAACTTTCACATTATAACGTCCCTATTGCTGAAAAGACGGAAATGTTTGACGAAGGGTTTCGATCCTACGGTCCACAGATTGCAAGTCAAGTACCCTAACCATTAAAACATGCTAGGCCTGATGTAAGAAGAACATTTGAAATGATGTAAATAAGGTTTTGTTCTAACTGGTAAGAAAACAAATATTTCTCTCTCTCTTTTTTTTTCCACACCGAAATTTTCACAAATTGGCGAAGTACTCTATTGTTCCATTCAGCTTGGACTGAGCAACACTTTGTGGCTAACGTGCCCGAACTTTAAATTCAAAGATTCATGGTTCACGACCTGATGCTATTTGTGGCCATGGGGTGCTCTATAAGAGATTATTCGATAAGCAAGAGTAGCCCAAGAGTTGACGGAGGGCACTGTTAAATATATACCTTCCTTCTAGTCTATCAGTTCAAAATTAGGGATAACTAGTCATTTTGTAACCTTGTGCAAAAATCTGAAACAAACCAATCAATTTACCTGAAATAAATTTACCCTTTAAATTGTTTATATGAATACAGATGGTTGAGTGCATTATATTAAAAATGGTAAATCAGAAAGACACGTGACAATTGCAGCCGATATAAACGCTTAGTGGAAAGACATGTATCATAACTGAATTTTGGCATTACTTGGCATTTCTTAAGTTAGGTGATGCAACAGTCCTTTCTGACGTCAAATATTCACTTAGATTCTAGTGATGTATTCAGATCGGGATTTAGAATTCATTCTACGTAATGGCACTGAAAACAAAAGAATGTGGATCAACTTGGTGCTCAGGACCAACCAAAAAGAGACCTGCAATAAGGACCACAGCCAAGGTAAGCAAAATGCGGCATCTTGTAACAGGTGAGAATACACGAACACGAAGGTCAGTAAAAAAGCTATCCACGTAACCCAGGCAACAATATGAAAACATAATCAAGAAGGATCTCTACCTAGAAGCGAGATCAACAGGGTATGGGTTCATCAAGATAAGGTTTCTAATCATACCTCCCATTAAATAATGAAATTGATATTTCATACAGAGACATACCAGTCAAGTCACTGGACACCTATGGATTTCTGTGCGATCAGAACCATTGTCTTTATACACTAAATTAAAAACTCATTTGTGGCTCACAGTTGTACCTTGAACTCGTAACCTTGCATTGGATTACTGGTTCTTCTTCTAGGCAGTGATAACATCATTTTTTATTGTGATTTTATTTAGCGACAACAAAATTCAATACCTACCAAACGACTTTTTCGCCGAAATGCCAAATTTGCGAGAAGTATACCTGGCTGGGAACGATATTACCACGATACCAGAAGCCACGTGGTCGAAGGTGTGGAAGAAACTGGTAGCGGTTTGGTTGGAAGGTTAGTTTGTTTAATTAAAGTATGAAACATAGAAAGGAAGCCCGGAAACAGTTGTGTAATAAGTGTCCATTTTAATCTCAGTGTAAATAAGAAAGACAGCAGATAAGATTTGTCTGATATCTTTAATATTTTCAAACTTTAAACGTTTCTCAACACAGGAAAAATTGGATAGATTTGCAAGTAATTCTAAGATAATTAATATGCACATTTCAAATAAATCCTCTAATCTGGAAACGTTTGGTCTTATTGTTTAAATGATACTCACTACTCTGTTTTCTGTACTTCCAGTATAAAAGGTATCTGTGATCCCAGTCAACAATCTTCCATCGTTAAAATTAAGTGTTGAAGCCTTCCGAAGTGAAAGATCAATTCAAAAACGTTTTTCTCTAACCTTTACCCCAGCTCTTTAACACATGGCACGTACTTATGTGTCCCCCGAAAGAACGTATTAAATTACAGGGGAGCATCTCAGGATATTTCCCATTATGCCTCAAATGAACGATATTTACTTCAGTCTTGTTAACCACTCAGCTAAAGTTTCGGTTGTGGCTAATTTTATGCTAATTCTAATGGTTTCCATGGTAGTATGTTACCCGTGTTTTCTTTCTCTTTAGGCAATCCTTTGATTTGTGACAATAAGATCGCTTGGATTTACAAACGGGATTTCCCCGATGATTTCTGGGGTGAGTGCACTGGTCCTGAAAGCCTAGATGGAAAACAACTTCAAGATCTTACCTTAAAGGACTTAGGATACTAAGTAGTCCCATTCAGGATATGTATAGAACACTCGAGTCAGTGTTTCTACAGAGATCAAGAAATCAAACCTCAACAGAGTTTAATTTTTTATGGATATTATCATTAAAATCTCCATCTTGGAAAATAGGTGGTATTGTAATTTCAACAGAATTTTGCATTAATATCCAATAAAAATATATTACCTAGTGATCAGATTCAGTATTCACTCATATTTCTATACCACTAAAGACATAATAATGTTCCATACTGGAAAAAAAAACACACGAGGAATGTTCTTTTATCAAGCACTGAATTATGATAAAACGTACATCAGTTGTAAAATAATGAATGTGTACATGAGCTGTATATACTTAATTTTGTGAAAAAAGAAAGAAAAATAATCCTCAGAACAGAATGTGAGGACAATAACGTTTCAATTAAAAGCTGACAATCTATCTATATATTACTCAAACTCTGGGATTGTTTGTTTGCTTGTCTGTAATTAAATGCAGCAAAAACGACGCACAATAGCGCCATATTTGTAATGAAATGACAATAGAAACGGA